GAGGCTAGCACCCAGAGGGCGAAAGAGCCAAACCTTAAAAATGTGTGATGTGCGGTTAGCAGTTAACTACGCTCACAACGCGGGGAAGAGAGTCCGCCTACCTAACTAAATCGCGACCCGTAGCGACAAGCGAGAGCCCACCCAAGTTTTTAAATAGCTAAGGCTATAATTATCATACAGAGGTCAATCATACGTAGGTACGTAAGTCTCAAGTAGACCTTGCAGTTTTCCTCTACTTCGAAGTGTTGGAACATTTTCTCCCGGCTTGGGGAGCTCTTTTAGCTGCTTGACTAGAAAAAGCGACACTAGCGCCACCTTGCGGACGAAGCTCACAAAATCCACTCTGGAAATTTGAAAATCCATTATGGATTTGGTCCTTTAAAAAACCACTCTGGTATTTCATAATTCCATAGTGGATTATTATTTCCATTCTGGATTTGACAATTCCATATGGAAACTAAGTTTCCATCTGGAATCATAATTTCCAGACCAAATCCCAGTATGGAATTTCTCTTTTCCATCTGGATATTTCTAAATCCATATGGATAAGAAAATTCCAGATGGAAACCGGGAAATCCAGAGTAAAATCCAGATGGAATTTAAAGCTGGGAGATACCACCGCCGTTCCAAGATCCTACAGGCATGCGCTCTGGCCCAGCGGTACCGTCTCCGACTTTCAATCGACACGTTCGTGGGTCGACACCTGGCGTCGGCCAGTCTTCGTTTTGCCATCTCTTCTCTCCCTTTCCGCCGGCCTTCAGGATGCCGTATTTTTGACGTTAATTCTACCACTTTTACGGGCAAAAAAACGTCAAATCTACGGCAGCTTTACGTCAAATCCCTTTGATGTATATTTGACGTTATTTTGACGTTAATTTATGACGTATGTTTGTCGTAATTTTGACGTTAATATGAAGTTTAAGAAACGGCAAAAATACGTCAAATTTACGGGGTGCAGATTCACTCGGGTCGCTGCCTCGCTGCGGCGTCGCGCTCTTCGTTTTATTCCGGACGGGCTGGGCGGGCAGGTTGCTCCGGCCGTGTGTGTGTGTGTGTGTGTGTGTGTGTGTTCTTTGTTTGTTTTGTGTTTTCTAGTGGCGCCTATGCCGCTGATGCGTCCACCGCAGTCCGCGCGTTGCTGGGATTCGGTTCGCAACGGTCCTCGGTGGCCCGAGAGCGCCGTGCGGGTAGGCAACCCATTCGACCAGGTGACTCGTGGAGCATTACCATTACGGGCTAGGCAACAGTGGGGGCGGTTGGGGCGGTTGCACTTGCACTGTAGTACGTGGAAGAGAGATTTCCCCAGGTTTCCCTTCTGTTTCCGCGTGTGTCCGTGGGTCTCTCAGCCCGTGCGTCCGCCGCCGAGGGACTATGGACCCGACGGAGCCGAGCCAGGGGGGGCGGCGCTGTGTCGTCCTGGAAGCACACTGGAAGGCAGAAGGCGAGACGCCTCTCGAATTCGCCGGCGCGCGTCCCGCAGGGAGACACCTCGGGCATGTGCAGACCGGGACGACGAAGGCGGAAACGCAAGCCGAAGGAAAAGAGGAAAACAGCGACACCGGAAGCAATAATGCACACCATTTTCCGAAACTGACCAAATCGAAGAGCGGCGAGTCACAGTCACACCGCCACGCCTTCTCGAGGAGACGCAACCAGTCGGCGTCGTGCCGCCACCGCCGAGGAAAAGGATCGAAAAATTGGTGGGCAGTCTGGTCGATCAAGGCGGCGGAGATGGGAGGAAATTGTCCCTCGCGCGGACAAGGACGCGGAACGAACGAGGGAGAGAGGGAGAGAGAGAGAGAGAGAGAGAGAGAGAGAGAGAGAGAGAGAGAGAGAGAGAGAGAGAGAGAGCGGCGCGGAGACGGCGGTGAAAGGGGGTGGGGCGGAGTGGCGGCTAATAAAGAACAAACAGTGGTCTGGCGCCCTAATCGTCTCCCGAGGATCGTAAAAAAATAAGTAAGCTTGCAGCGACATAAATAGGAGACTTAAAACAATAAGGGCACCGCGAGTGCACCCACGGACCCGGCATTGCCCCTTTCGCGAGGCTAGGGCTGCCGACGAGAAGCGGGCACGGTCGCGGCAACACGAGGTCACGGGAAAGTTCACTTTCGCCCAGTGGCACCACGGTGCGCAGCGCTGGGGGTGTATGCGAGACTAGAATCAGCGGTGGCTGAGCGCGTAGAGGCGTCGACCCGCACCTCCAGGGGCTCGAGTTCGACTCCCAGCATTTCTTTACATTTTAGGAGTGGCTTTCCCGATGCGGCTTGGACCCGTTGCGCCACTCAACTCATCCGATGAGCCGCGGTGGCTGAAGGTGTTGAGGTGTCTGAATCCTACACTCGGATCGAGCGATCGAATACCGCCTTCCCGCTCTTTTTGTCTGACTATACGGTTCGGACCAGCGGCTTCAAAGGCTCTCCTTCGCTCAGCGTCACCCGTGGGCCGTGGTGGCCGAGAGCGCAGAGGCGTCGGTTCCCGAATGCGGGGTCCGGGGTTCGATACCCAGTACGGTATCAAATATTTTGACCAAGGTTGCATCGCAAGAAGGCGGTTCAAGTATACAAAATCGGCCGGCGTTCAGTGTGCCTCTCATAGCCCAGTGGTTCCGCTGCTGGGCAGGGTGACGCAGACTCCTGAGTACCAGTAGCATGGCCCCTGAGTGGGAAGGGGGCCGGGAACGAAACCCGACTACTGGGAAAGGTGGCAGCCTGGCCTACTATGAGAGGACTCCTCCACACCACAGATGACGTGACCAATGACGGGGCCACTGCGGTTTAACTCTGAGGTTGCTCCTGTGATGAGATGGGGGAACCACTGGTCCACCAAGCCAGCGGGGAAGAGGGCCGGTTCGCCGGGGTGCCCTCTTTCGCTGAAATTTTCTTTATACTGTCGGACAAAATTTTCAGCCGATTCAAGGGCAAGGTCGGACAAAAATGGGTCGGACAAACGATGAGCACCGCTCGCGGGAATTTGAATGCAAAATACTAACTCCGGTCGTGTTCTTCCTTCGAACACCCGCCAATTCTCCTCGCTCTTTTGCGATCAGTGGACGGCCGCGCAGTGCCCCGCGCTGGCCAGAGACCGAGGTCCCCGTTCCGAAAGAGCGCTCTTTTCAAATTTTGGCGCCACGGCCGCGAGTTTCGCCGACAGCACTAGTCGGCCGCTGGCCGCGGCGCGGTGCCGGCATGTGGCGCGCTCTGGCGGCCAGCGCCCGAACTGCTTCCAGCGAAGCCACCCCGCGGTGGAGGGGGAGGGAGAGTCCCCGCCGCACCCCGCCCCGCCCCGCCACCGTGCCGGCCGCCGCCGCACTTGCACGCCCCATTCGCAGATCGCTTTCTGTCCAGCGCACTGCACTGCAATGGCTATCGGTTCGTAATAAGGCCGCCTGGAAATGTTGGCACGACGACGAGGTGATGGTTGTGGGCAGCGGTGCAAAATATCGTGAATGAACGAGTGAAATCTGCCAAAAGTAAAAGTGGCCTGGCAAAGGCAAAAGCATTTCGCTGGCCGTCGCGCGTGTTCACCCCTTCTACCCGTCCGTGGGGCTTCCTGCGGGGGAGGGGGAGGGGGGGCACCGCAGGGCCGCGGGGCAGGGTGACCTCTCGCCGTGTCGCGTGCTGCTCGCCATCGCCGCCGTGCGGCTGGAGCGCCACTGCGCGAGCGAGAAAGAAAGCCGTGGTGGTTCCGAGCCGCGGCCTCTGTCCCTGTCGCACCCCGACGAGACACTCTCAAGCGCGTCGCAACGAACCAGACCTCGATCGTGTGCCGTGTAACCCAGGGATTCCCCGATCGAATCCCATTTGAAACATTTTTGGCTGACCAATGTCAATTTGTCGAACGAATACAACTACAACACTTGGCGCTGGGCGAGCGACGAGCCTGTTCGATGCGGGGGTGAGTGAGAACGGGAGCCAGTGCGTGGGTGGGGGTGGGGGCGGGGTGGGGGCGGGGTGGGGGCGGCGCCGACCGACCCGGTCGGGTCGGGGCGGCCTGGAGGCCTGGCGTGGCCCGGCGGTATGATTGGGTGGGTAGCCATTGGCGAGTGCCGTCGGTCACGCGAGCGGCAGGCGGGGCGGGGCGGGGCCGTGGGAGTGGAGGGGAAGGGAAGGGCCTCCGCGACGAGGACGAGGCATGCCGAGCAGGCCCTGCAGGCCCTGCAGGGCTGGCAGGGCTGGCAGGCGAGGACGACGGGGTGTCAGGTGCCGACTGGCACGGTCAGCGCGGCCCCTGCCCGGCCCCGGCCCCGGCACCCCCTCCCCCCGGCGCCGACCTGGAAATAAAGGATGGTGACGTCACCGGCCGGTTTATCCTGTATTTAAGACGGCACGCGACCGCACCAGAAATGTCTGCCGTATTTCATTCCCCCCCCCCTCTCCCTCCCCGCGGAGCCGCGGCACCAAATAAATCAAAGGCGGTCGTCGTCGGTCTGCCTCTGGCCGACGTGCGGCAAGACTGCGCCCCTGCGTCGCGTCGTCGCGTCGTCGCGGCGCGGGGGATGCGTTGTTGGCAAGGTGTGTGTAGCGCCCGCGGGGTAGGCAACCCAACGTGCCGTTCCAACGTGCCGTTGGTTGGGTTGCCTAGCCGTCGATTCACAGGAGCGCACCGCCTCGTTCTCGCGAGGAGGGTGGTGACTGTGACGCCTCCGGCTAATTTTTGTTGCCTGAGCAGAACCTAGATAGTGTAATTTTCGATTTATTTGACGTAAGTCGAAAAGAATATGTCGACGTAGGTTTCGATCAGTTTTGCGTTTTGTTAAGGCGGGCATGAAAAAGTACGTGGTCTACATAATACGCAGTGGCCCTCCACAGTCTGACTTTGTGTGGCCGGTGCTCCCTAAGTATGCACGGTCAACGCGTTTCCATCCTATTCACGCTGCAAATGACCGTAAATTCTCCGTGATTGCAGGTTGTGGACTTCTAGCGGCTGGCCCGTGACGATGTCCAGCAGTCCGGTGCCCTCGCACCGACTGTTCGCCCGCCAGTCACTGGCACCAGTTCGCCATGACGCCCACGGTCTTGGTGGCGGTGGCGCTGCTGCTGCGGGCGGCGCCGAGCCTGGCCGCGTCCTACGACGACCTGGCCCAGATCGTGGCGCCGACGGTGACGTGCATGGGGGCGCGGTGCGTGGCGCGCGTCATCATGCCCATCCGGGACCAGGGCCGCAACAAGGACGTCCTCAACGACAGTAAGTCCTGTCTCTCGCACTCACCGGCAGTTCGAAGGAGAAAGCAAGGACTGAGAGCTATAGACAGAACGTGACGTCATAAGTGAACAACCCCTTCGCGAGTTCGCATCACGCCGCAGTACTCATGTCCATGGGCGTCGCAAATCAATAATCAACCATTATTCCAACTTCCGCAGTCGAAATCAAGACGGAGTTCGAAGAGTACGACATGGCGCTCCACTTCACGGGCACCTTGAACCGGGAGAAGATCTTCGATGTCGAAATCTCAGGTGCGTTGTCCAGTCTTTCGTTGCGACTCTGTCGAGAATGGAAGTGACCCGGATTCCGATTTCCACCGGCAGGCGAGAACCCCACGGCGGCGTGCCACTCGATGGGCGACCAGGGCGAGGACCAGCCGCCGCTGATGCTGTGCATGAGCTTCGGGGACATCAACTCGGTCGGCAACTCGCTGCAGGTGGGTGGAGCAATGCCGCTCCGTGCGGTGATGCTTCAATGATTGCACTCCTCCACGTCTGACATTGTTCTAAACATTGTCCCCTAGGCGTGCGCCACCGTGGGCGGCGGCAAGATCAACAACCCCCCGACCGTGGTGTCGCAGCTGGGGTGCTTCCTGGCGGACACGCAGACCAGCTCCATGGAGCACGCCATCCAGCCAAGGCGTCGCGCGATGCCGTCGTAGGACCTGAAGTGTACAGTGTTGCAATTGTGGACCGCAATAAATAGTGTGCCACTCCGCTTCTTTGTTTCATTTCTGTCCTTGTCATCGTCATCACTGTTTCCGAGAGTCGTTTTCATCGCTCTGTCTGTCGCGCACCTCTACGGGACGCCCCATGAGTGCGAGAGAGACAGAGCGACGAAAACGACTCGGCATCAGTCTTCAGGGTTGCGGCGCCGGCGGTCGGGAGGGCAGGACGTGCAGGACAGGGGCAGACTAGGCCGGCCGAGGGCGAGGGCGGCCCCGGCATGACGTGCTGCACGAGGATGGGGCTAGCGCGGCCCGGCGCGGCCCGGGGCGCCGCGGCCCGCGGCACCGTCACCGGCCAGTACGGCCAGGGTAGGGCAGGCCGGGGATCGGACGGGGTTGGACGGAGGCTAGGGCGGGGCGGGGCGGAGCGGCGGGGCCTGCTACCCTGCACGACCACCACGGCACGCAACCAGCGAACCACCTCGCCTCGCCTGCCCGGCCTGCCCTGCCCCCCAGTCGCTGGTCTCGGATTTATTGCTGGCCGACTTCCAGGTCAAACCCAGCCCAGCCCCGCGCGGCGTTAGCGCAGCGCGGCCGCGGCCGCGGGGGTGCGCCGTGTTGTTGCATTGCAGGTACTGCTGGCATTGCAGGGCTTGCAGGTGCCGAAAGGCCTTCCTTCGAGACACGCAGTCCAGGGCCAGCCAGGCGAGCCACACTGATTCCGAGAGACGTTGTCGTCGCTCTGTCTCTCTCGCACCTATACGAGACGCTCCATGAGTGCGAGGGAGACAGGGCGACGAGGACGACTCTGGGAATCGGTCTGCGGGGTGCCCAGGGGTGCCCCGAGACTCGCGAGTGGCGCGGCCGTCGCCCCGCCCCGTTTCGGGACGCGCCTCGGCTCGGCCTCGCCACCCTGCACACCGACTCCAGGCGTCCTCGTCGCACTCAAAGGGCGTCCCGTTCACGTGCGAGAGAGACAGAGCGACGACAAGGACTCTCGGAATCAGTGTGCCGGTCGCGGGTCGGGTCGGGGAGGGCGCCCTCAGGGCTCAGGGCGGCGAGGCCGAGAAAGCGAGCGCGTTTATACAAAAATGGCGTGCCGGCGGGCCGTGCCGTGCGGCCGTCGGGCCCCGTGGCTCCGTCTCCTAGGCGCCGCGCCTCGCGAGGGAGAGAGAGATAAGCGAGGCGGTGGCGGAGCTTGTCACTGGGGGAGGAGGAGGAGGCACACTGGGCAGCAGACAGGTTCGGTATCGCTGTCTCCGTCGCACTCGTGGGCCGCCCTGTCGGGTGCGAGAGAGACAGACGACGCGACTCCTCGGAATGGCCTGCCGCTCGGCCTGCCGTGCCTTCCCTCCGCACGTGCCGGACATCACGCTACCCTGGGGGCGGTGCCGGGCGGTACCCTCTAGTGCCAGTCTCTGGCCAGCGGACCCAGCGGACGCCAGGGCAATCGGGAGGGGGGGGGGGCGAGGACAGGTGGGGCGGCGCGCAGCACGTCACGTTCGATTCCCGTGCTATCAGTGTGTGCGTGTGTGTGTGTGTGCGTGTGAGAGTGTGAATGTGTGCTGCGGTCGGCAGGCCGGAAGGCCGAAGGCCGGAAGCAACCTTTCCGCCGCTCGTTTGACTCGCAGCGATAGCATCTCGTCCACGTGTCCCGCCCGTGCGGCCGCTTAGCGCTTAGCGCGGCGTAGCGCTCCACTGCCTCCCAGCTGCTGTGCTGCAGTGTGGTGGCGGCTCCCGAATCAACAACGCACAAAAAAGGGAGATAGGTCGTGGAGACCCAAAGACCACAGTGCGGGTGCGCCCGGGCGGCAGGCAACCCCTCGGACGCGGTGCGGGGGAGGGGAGGGGGGGGGCTGTGCGCCGCGGCGGTAGGCAACCCCTCCGGCGGCGCGGCGAGGCGTGAGGCAGCCGGCCCGTTGCCGGGATGCCCCCGGACTGGAGCCTGATGCAGTGTGCCTACAGTGCAGTGCAGCGGTGCGCCCGATGGCAGCGGCCGCCGAGGCCCTTGTGCACCTTGCGGGGCTCAGCGTCGACGCTGCTTTCCAGCAGACAAGCGAATACTCTGAAACGCATCCAAATTTCGAAATGCGAGCGCCAAAAAAAACGGCAGAAAACAAAACGCCGCATATTTGCACTGTGTCTGCGAAGCGCTGGGAGTTGCTGCAGTATTCAGTCAATATTCTCGGGCGCATTGATGTCGTTGTGGCGAGTGGGGAGGGGGGTGAGGGGCGGCCCACGCGTCGCGTCGCGGAGGCCTGCGTCATATTATACAGACGGACATCAATCAGAAGTGGGGTATGTATGGTTCTGATTGAAGGCATGCATGGATGGGGCCTCCCCCCCCCTCTCCCCTCGTGGCCGTCCGAGCGTGACCGGACCGAGGCCAACACAATGCGCCCCGGCCGGCCCGGCCCGCGCGACATCGTGTAAAGACCGTGATTGTCACCACAGCCTTTTTAAGGAAAAAAGTTTGACACGCCTCGCCGTGCCTCGCCGTGCCGTGGCGCGTTTTGTGTGCGATTGTAGAGTGCAAGGCGGCCGTGATTAGGGGGTAGTTGACAGCGGAGGGGGAGGGGGAGGGGGAGGGGGGCAGGAATCCGAGATCGACTTTAATACGGGGCCGTGGGTGTCGGGCTGTGCAGGCCGTGCAGGGCGTCGAGTTGCTTCGCGTCGCCGGGGAACGGAGACAGGCACACGGGGACGCTGCAGGCACCGCCCCCACGTCCCCGACCGTCTCCACCGTGTCGCCGGCCAGCCTAACCTTGCAGTGTCCCCACCGGCCACTGCGTCATAATTGTGATTAAAATTGTAAGTAGAAGAAATTTTCTGCGATAAACGTGATTGAAAATAATGACGAAAGTTGTGCTGTTTTTCTTGTTTTCCCTCCTTTTTTGTTGCTTTCGAGTCCTCCGCTGAAGCAGGATAAGGGCGCGGCGTTCTCTCTCGCCCCAACGCACCCGCCGGTCCACGCCGGTCCGACCGTCCGGGCGTCCCTCAAACGAGCCATAATGTCCCCTAAACGTCCACATAGAGCGTCCGTCAGGGAGGTGACGTGCCTGCAGCAGTCTGTTAGTGCAGATTAGCCCGCGCCATTCACGAACGGTCAGATATTATTCTGGCGGCCGACGGGGAGGTGTTACCCTGGTGTTACCTAGCCACACGCACACACTCACAGGCACGCACGCACACAGACACGCATGAATGAATGTTGTGCATTTCTTCGCTTGCACACGTGGCTCAAGTACACAGCGGATTACGTTCGTTATCATTTGTGTTGCATTATGCCGGAGTACGCTGCAGGCCGGGCGTGGGGTGAGGTGTGCGTTCCATGACGCTCCAGCCCGAGTCTCTGGACGTCCCCGTGGACGTCCCTGGACCCCACACAGCTCCTGGCGGCCCCTGAGGCCTCCGCGGTACGCGAAATAGTCCCCGGCCGATTCAGGGAATGGCATGGGCCCTGCTGGCGGCAAGGCAAGGCCTGAAGGCCCGAGGCGGCCCGCCCTGCAGGACCTGCTGGGAGACGCGGTGGGAGGGGCGCTATCATACATCAGGTACTCGGTGTGCTGCAGTGTGCTGGCACTCGAGCCGCCGCCGGCCGCCGCGTGCAAAAACAGCACCTCTCCTCGTCGGATTCACGTTCACATTCAGATCGGGCTTCGCTGGCTGTGCCGGGCTGCGCTGCGCGGCGAGGACGCGACGCCCGCTCGCCCCAAAACACACAGAGACACAGCACCGGCCGACCGCGGCAAAAAGTTATCCATTTTCCGTGCAGCATATGTAATGGCACCGACCCTTGCTCCTTGCCCGCTTGCCCGTGGCTGCACGGCCACGGCACGCCACGGCACTGCAAAAGCGAGCAAAGCAAGCAAAAGGAATAAAAGAAGAACGAATTGCAGCGGGCAGCGCGGTCGGTACGGGACGTACGGGACGTACGGGGGATTTCGTGGAGCGTATCTCACGAGTCGCGCGGGCCTGGCGGCCTGGTGGCCTGGCGGGGCGGCCTGGCGGGCCGCGGGGGCACGACAAAACGTGTGCCTCAGTGCTGTTTCCTGGTCCGGGAATGCCGCGACGGTCCGGGACGGTCCGCGACGGGCCTGGAAGCCGCAGGGGAGGGGGAGGGGGAACACATGTCGCAACATGTGTCGCTGCCCGAGCCTCCGTCTCTCCGTCTCTTTCTCCCGTTCGCCTTTCCCTTTTTTTCTGATTTGGTTTTCGCACGCCGCGCCGGGCGGGACTCGAACCTCCGACTGCCCGGGGGGCAGCTGCGACGCGCGCCCGTCCCGACAGGGTGCATGCAAACGACGCGCCCGTCATCGGGGCGTCATCGGGGCTGTTATCGGTTTCGAATCAAATTATATCGCGGTGCCTCGCGGTGCCCCGCCGACCGTGAAAACGAAGCGGGGGCCAGCCAGGAGTCTCTCTCGCACTCTCTGCGGGACGCCCCGTGAGTGCGAGAGAGGCAGCGCGACCAGGCGAAGAGGGCGGCTGCTCTCCTTTCGACTCCTTTCTCCACAACGCCACCGTGTCCGTGTGTCCGTGGGTCCGCGGGGAGTATCGGCGATTGAAAAAAAAAAAGCAAACGGAGTGACAGGCGGGGAATAACGACCGGGCAGGCACCTCGTCTTCCACTCCATGCCGCCATGCCTCCATGCCTCGTGGGCGTGCGGATGACTGTCCTATCGGAGGCCGCTTTGGGCCGCGAGGTCTTGGGTTCGATTCCCTACAAATATTTTTGGGGGGCGAATATTTTGCAGGGGCGTCGATTCACACTGGCGAAAGGGGCGGCTCAGGTGAAAGCTAGCCAAAAAGAGTGTCCTATTTTTTTCTGTCTCCCGGTTGTTTGTCCTTCCACCCCAGTCGCCACCCTCCTGACCACCAGCCTCCCGGCTCCTGATCCACTGCTTCCACCCCGAGGCGACGAGCCGTGCCCGCCGAAGGCGCGGAATGGACTGGCCGTGGGGGAGCTAAACACTCTGCCTTTTTTTTCCTCCCGTCTCTCTCGCTTCTTTTTTCCGGTTTTCTCGATTCCCTGACCGGAGGTCAAATT